GCGCGGCGCTCCGGCTGTCTGAGGAGGGCCTGCTGCTGTCGGTGCCGGGGCAGGACGACGAGGGCGCGGCCATGGGCGGCGCCGCTTTGGGCGGCGTCGACGCGCTGAGGGGCAGCGATCAAAGCTTTTCGGCTGCGGCGTACGCTGGGTTCTGAGGGGGGGCGGGCAAAGGAGTGCGGCGGCAATGGCGTGGCAGGCGCGGCCGGGCGCAGGCGGCGGGCGGGCGCTGCTCGCCGGGGCCTGACGCGGCCGGACGCTGCAGGTTGTGTGCAGCACGCTGGCTTGGACGCAGCGGCGGGGCCTGGGCCCCGCCCGACCTCGGAGCTGCTGCGGCAATGTGGCTGGGCAGCTGCGCGACGTGGCCACACGACTACGCTGGCGCACTTGCGTGCCTGCAGGCTGGCGTCGTCGAGCGCGCGGGCGACGGCAGTGGCTGGGGCGTCAGGCTAGCTAGTTTGGGGGTCTTTGCTGGGGGCGACGGGGTGCTGTGCGTAGTCAGCAGATGGCCGGCATACCGCACTGCCTCAAAAGCGGGCGCTCGCCAAGCGCGCCGCTTGTGCAGTATTTTAGGACCATTCCACAAGCAGCAGGCTGCAAGGCTTCCTGCTGCAATTACACAAGATACGTGTTGACCAGGCTTCTGACCAGACTAGGCTGGGATGAGGGGGGTGACTCCGCTGTAACACTCGCGGAGCAGTGCCGCACGCTTCGGCGGATGCAGGGGAGGGGTTGGCGCTGGGCGGTTGGCGCCCAGCACAGTCCAATGCGATCTGTGATCTGCGATGTGCATCTTCATGTCAATATTCTGATTTAGGATATCGGCTTATTTGCTCAGCGTCGCAGTCACAACGCGGCCCGGTGGCTGAAGAGTGAGCAATGGCTGCCGCTACCTTGGAAGCTGCGATGCGCAGTGACACATCAGCACCAGCACGGCTCCCTGAAAGCCAGCGGCCGAGCACTGTTCATGCCACAACCAAATTCCTTAAATCTCCACGAACCTACTACATCCCTTCAAACCCCTCAGCATCAGCAAATCAACAGCCACCTCCACCATGCTGCGCGCCCTTGCCTCCAGCCCGCTGCTGGCCGCGGCGCCCGCTGCCGCCGCCACCGCCGCGCGCCCGCTGGCGGTGATGCTGCGCCCCTTCTCATCAGAGGGCAAGGAGGCTGCAGGAGAGGTGCGTGGCAGAGGCGCTGGCTCACCCCCGAGCGGACCTAGCGCCAGGGGGCGCGCCACTACGCGCGCGCCTCGCGCATCCTGGCGCGCCCGCGGGGCGGCGCATGAGCACGCGCGCGCCTACGCAGGCGTTGCCCCTCCTCCTTCACACCGCCCTCGCTCAGTAGCCTGCCTTGGCCTGCGCCTCTCCCAATTGCAAGCGCCATCCATGCAGCGACGCATCATGCCTGTGACCATCAACCCACCCCACCGCAACGACCACTGCCACTGTCATCATACCACCACTAGATGGTAAAGGAGACAGCAAAGGAGTTTAAGAAGGACGGCAGTGTTGGGTCCCAATTCGAGGCGGACGGCGCCATCGGTGCGCGCATGCGCGCGCTGTGCCTGGACAGACCCCAGTCCCCCGACGGCCCGCCGCGGCGCTGCTCGCGCCTCCGTCCCTCCCTTCTCGCGGCCGCCGCTAGTCTGTGCGCTATGCTGCTTAAACTACGTCGCCGCGACATTTTGCCCCGACATTCACTGGCCTGTGTCCGGCACTGATTGGCTCAGCGCCCCCCTTTGTGCGCCCTGCCCGGCGCCTATTGGTTGATCACCCCCACTGGCAGGTGGCAAAGTCCAGGAGATGGTCGACAAGGGTGCCCTGCCCAAGGCCTTCTCGAAGGACGGCAAGATCGGGTGGGTGCACGCGCCTCGCCGCCTGATCCCATAGAATGGTCAAAGGGGGCCTAAATCGGGAGCAAATGCGGAAAACCTGCACGCACGACACTGAACATCCCTCACGTGCGCATTTGTTGCCGGTACGAAGAAGCCTGTCGGCTAGCGGGTCGAAACAGGGGGGACTAACAGGTCGCTCCTCGGCGCGCGCATTTCCTCTGCACCGCAGGCAGCAATTCACGTCGGAGGGCAACGTCGGCGGCACTGTGGAGCGGGCGGCAGAGAAGGAGGAGCACATGGGGGAGAAGATCAAGCGGGACGCGGAGCGGCAAGGCGCGCCCGCGCAGAGGGAGGCAAACGAGCGGTCGTCGGTGGCGCAGCCCGGCGTGGACGGGCGCAACAGCGACGTATAGGTGGCTCTAGGGCTTGGTCGCACGGTGACTAGGGGTGCAGCTTGGCGTTGAGAGGGCTATCTCGCATCTTGGCATGACAGGAGCGTGGGATGGGAGCAGCGCATCATTGGCACTTGCAATCATCATTATAGCCTCTGCTGCAATGAGCTTTGTAAGTTTCTGGGCATTCTGCGCCTTTGACGCCTTGGTTGAAAACCGTTGTTGTCAGTGTGGCTTGCAGTTATTGAAAGCCGGGCTGCTTGTGTGCGCCAGGTGCGTGGGCGCTCTGGTGCGCGCCCCGCCTTGTCACCATGAGTCAGCCATCATGCTTCCAGCGTGGACAACGGTGCTGGGGGTCGCGAGAAAGTACATAGCGTCTATTTGGTACATGATGCCGGAGCAGAAGCTTGCAGAGAGACTTTGGATTTAAGCGATCTGCGATGTATGCTGCAGACAGAGACTCCTAAGTTACCGTGTATATGATCTCAACGCATCAATAATCCAGTGCTACTGAGGCACCTCGCGTGGTGTAGAGACGTACCACTGAATTGTGCATGTGTCGTCTGCATGCTTGACCAAACATGGGTGCAGCCGAGTCCTCTCTGCAGACACAGCAGCAGCTCCCGGCGCAGCAGCAAACACATAAGCACACACAGCATCAACCTGCGCACCTGCTCCCGGAGCAGCTCGTGCAGCTGCGCGCCATGTTTGCGCGCGTGTCGCGGGGCAGCCGCTCCGCGTCTATCGACGACCTGAGGGCGCTGCCAGAGCTGGCGGGCAACCCCATGGTGCGGCACATATTCGCCGTCCTGGACGTGGACGGGGACGGCAGCCTTTCGGTCGACGAGTTCATAACGGCGGCGCGTGAGTGGCGCCACATAGATTGGTGATTGGGTGCAGGAGGGGATGGCGGGGGACGAGCAAGGGCAGGCGATGGCGGCGCGACGCAGCGGCCCCTGAGCGAATGCTTTCCGATCCACCGGGCTTGGAAAGAAAGCTATCGGCCGTGCGTGTGACTGAAAGTTGTGCGAGCGGCTGCTGCACTGTTGGGCTGGCAGCAGCAGGGCGTACCCTATGCCCACTCACCCAACCTGTCACGTGCCGCATCGCGTCGGGAAACCCCCCCAGAGCTGTTTGCCACGGTGCGCAGTGACGAGGACCTGTACCGCCTCGCGTTCAGGGTTTTTGACACAGACCAGGTCAGCTGCTGCGGGCTGGCGGGCGCCGTCGGTCCGCAGTGTATGTGTGAGGGAGCGCACAGCGCTGGGGTCGCGACTGCAGCGCTCCAAGGGGCCCCAGTCAATGCAGCTGAAGGAAGATGAAGGGCCGCGCCCGCACCGTCCCTACATGCGGCGCACCGCGCTGCAGCGCGCAATGGAGGTTTCACTATGTTCTCACACCATGCATTGTACTGCATTGTGGCTTATCGCCCGATGATTGCGTCACCAATGCTGCCGCAGGACGGCGCCATAGGGGCGGAGGAGCTGCTGGCGCTGCTGCAGTCGCTGATGGGGGCGACGTTCAGCGACCAGCAGCTGGAGCGCGTGGCGCGAGCCACCATGCAGCAGTTTGACGAGGATGGGGACGGCCGGCTGACGGTGGGCTTTGGGGGGAGGAGGGCAGAGGGCGTATGCGTGCGTCGGGACAAGGGGGCGTGGGGCCGCAGGGCGAGAGGAGGCGCACGCGGGTGTGACTGGCAGACCCGCGCGAGGCGTGATGCACCGGCTGTACGTATTGGCAATCAGCACAACATAATATCTGAAGGCTTCTCAAATCCTCAGTATAACGGGCCATGAACTCTGTCTGCACCGACAACGATGCTGAAACCCATCAACTTGCGCCCCTGCTTGGCCCCCACCTTGCCTGGTCTACCTACCCCCACAAACACACAGATCGACGAATTCAGGCACCTTGTCAGTGCCCAAGACCTGGCCAGCAAGTTCACGTTCACGCTGTGAACTTCACCGGGAGCAATGGGAACCAGGGAAATGGGCTCTCTTGCAAAGCATTTGAGGAAAATCGGAGCTGCTGTACGTGCTGCTTTCAACCAGCAATCGCGGGTCATTTGAAAGAACGCGACACGGCGGGTTGGCTTACAACCCAACCCCTATAGCCCTTAACCCTGCATCCCTGTGAGCTAAACCGCCACTCAGCTAGCTAGCAGAAGGGCAGGGAAGGCCGCGTGGCGCTCGTGCGCACAAGGGCAGCGTGTTGCTGCCGGACCACCAGTCACCAGCCGCAGCTTGTTGCAGCAGGCCGCAGAGGCCGGCTGCTGGCGAGCATCTGGTCGACAGCTGCGCCGCCCGGGCCGAACGCCGCATCTGGCTGCCTCGACGCGACCACGCAAACCCCGCGATCATCGGGCCACTCGGTGTAAACCTCGATGAGACTATGACGACATGACAGGCCGAATGCATGTGACAATCTCGCCAACCCCGACGACTGCCAGGCACGCATTGGCGCGAGCACTCGACGTACAGTCAGCACCCATCGGGCTTGCGGTGCTGCCAGCCGGGTTAAGGGGCAGCGCATCATGCTTCTCTCATACAAAAAACTGCCCCAGTTTACGCAGCCCAAGCACACCATCCCTACTATCCATCCAGCAATGCGTGGAACAGCGACACGCGGCTGCCTTCCGGCCTCCAGGCACGCACACCGCTGCGCGGCAATGACGAAGGCTGCTAGATCTGGGTCACATGAGCCAAAGCAGATCCAGGCGTGCTTTGGCCGCACAGCACATCAGGGTCACCAACATATCCATAACCCAGCATTTGCGACGCTGCATGGTGCCCCAAGCCTATTTTTGCTGTTTTCAGAGCAGGGCATCACTGAATCACAGGGCAGTTGCAAAAAATGCATGCAGCAGCAGCAGCAGCAGCAGCAGCAGCAGCAGCAGCAGCAGCAGCAAGATGCCACAGCCGCGACAGCAACAGGCGGCCGCCAGTGCTCAACGACCCGAAACAGCACACCCACCCACGCTGCTGTTGCACCTAGGAACAGCAGCGGAGCGCAAGCCTAAAGTTGATGCTCCAGAGTCCAATCCCATGAGCCTGGGCAACTGCAAGATTTGCACAATCTTCTATACTCCTGATCCTGATCCTCACCCCAGCAGCTCCTTCATCCGCAGCAGCAGCCGGCGCGTCGCGCCCTCCAGACCCCGCTTCATGACCAGCCGGTACGCGACCGCCGCCCGCAACCCCTCGCGCTCCTCCTCCGCCGCGGCGCCGCCGCCGCCGCCGCCTCCCATGCTGCCATCGCTGCTGCTGCTGCCGCTGCCGCTGCTGCTGCTGCTGGCGCTCACTGCGTCGAGTTTTGCGAGCAGTTTCGTGTCCTGCTGTATGGAGGTGGGGAATGATTTGTACAGCACCGTGCAGAGGCCCACCAGTGCTTTCATCACCACAGCCTGGGGGAGGTTGGGAGGGGCCAAGATGTGTCCATTTGTTTTAAGGTGTGTAAAGAGGGATGATGGGACGTGGTTTGATGAGGGAGTGGCGGCAGCGGCGGGAGCAGGAGCCGGAAAATGGCGGTGTTAGGGGCCCGGCGGGCGCTGTGCGGGGC